CTGTGGATGTATCATTTTCTTGCTGTATAGCTATAGTCATCTGTTTATGTACAGTTCTAGCAAAAATAGGAAAGCGTAAGTCGCGTAACTAGCGCTTGAAACAATGTTGCACTAGGTTTTCATTTGTATCTATTTAAACATTATAAAATATTCTCATAAGTTAGATTTATTGCAAAGTCATGGAATTTAATCTCCGTTGTATTGCTCAAATGTGAAGGAGAGCATGTTTCATCCCCGTTGTGGACACTGTGTGCTCTTGTCCAATGGCAACAAAACAGCTTGCAGGACAAACCCTCATCACGAGTTTGACAGGGGTCTTGTCTTTAGTTTAGAGCCTATCAAGGACAATGAAGTTTTTGAAATTCAAATTGATAGGAAGGTAAGAACTGAGGATTGTTTGGTAAACATTTTATTACTTCTGACTTTAAGGTTACACAAATTTTTCCTTTCAGACCAGTTTACACTTTACATTTAAGTTTTTAATGAATGATTTCAGTTTAGGCCCTGAAACCAAACCAAAAAATAGTTCAAAAGCATAAAGCTAACCATGAACTAGATACAAATTTTTACAATAGTGAACTATTTCACCCATTTCTATGACCCTTGCCCTCTTTCTTGAGTGAAAATTGAGAAAAAGGGCAACATTTTTTAAAATTTCCTGTGAATCGGTAATTTTTATTAACACTTTGAAAATTATACCTGATATTCCAGTTTTGCAACTGTGCAAACTGCAACTTATGGTAGCCTACTTGGCTAACAAAAAATTGACTTGAGATGAGAATAGTTTTTGGTGCATGCTTTCCACCACTGCCACTGTGCAGAGAGTGGATGAATATTGCAAGATCTTTGGCGACGCTTCAGTAGCCAAATTTTCACCTTCAGAAGATCTTGCCGACACATTTAGATTGAAATTCTTACATTTAATATATTTCTCAGTCTTCGGCCAACTATTTAGAAAAAAAGTAAGGTTTCTGGTGCGTTGGATGGAATACGATGCAGCAAAGCTTGTCCGGAAATCAGTTGCGATGAGTTCCCGCAAAAAATGTAAACAACGTTTTTTCGATTGCGTAGTTTTGGTCACATTAGAGCCTGTCTCTTATACACATCTAGATGTGTATAAGAGACAGGTCTAAGGGTTTTAATGTTTTGTAGGTGCTTCTGGGCCATGGTGTGCTCAGAGATGGTAAATCAGTCATGGAGGCATATGGCTGTGATTTGGATCAGCTGGTGGAGGGAGATCGCATTGGAGTCATGAGGAGTGGACATGTGAGTCTATTGATTATTACCTAAGTAATTTTGGTTGCAAATTTGCAAACTTCCTTATGGAGTGTTTCACTGTATTTTTTATCTTTTTCTGCTTTTTTTACCTTTTACTGTCTATCTCTTGGAAGCATCTCCTAAAAAACCTCTTCAGCTGCATTTCCTAATTTTTTTCAAATGTTTATATTTAATATCAAATTTCTGAGACAGAAGTTTCTATGTGAGAGAGATGGTATCTATAAGATAGAGTACTGAATTGGAATTAACTGGTCAAGCCATTAGACTTATTTGACTTGCAATTTTCTAGTGAATGCCTGTACATGATCTGTCTCAAGATACATTTCCTGCAGTAGGTATTATCTAGATAGGTATCTAGATTGTCTTTTGACAATCTTGAAGCAGTTAGCTTTGTGATTACAAGGGCAAGGTAACATCAATGTTATCATTTGTATATAATTGCTGTACAATAAAGATGGATTTACCTTAAGCAGGATAATAACTGAACTTTGAGGAAAATTTGAAAGATATTCTTTTTTTTTTTGGCCTATGTTGAAGAAAGTCATTTATATATTTATATGTTTTCTAGTGACATTTTGAAATTAGTACAAAAATTTGTATCAGAACGACATTTTGCTTTAAGTGTTCACCCTTAATTACTTGCTTGGACCTATCCCCTGTAGAAAGGTCTGATGCAACGTAAAGAAGGGTTTATGCATGCCAAACCCTAACTCTAAACTCTAATGCTTACCTTACAAGGTTGGCATCTTTTTGATGTCCGGTAGTGTAGTTCATTCACTTTTGCATCAGGTTTTTAGGTACAAACTAGTTACAGAGTATATAACCGGACCAATTTTGTCCAGGTTTCTAACCCGTCAGTAATATTACCAATCCTGTCTGGCTATTGACTGACTTCCATAAACATATACAGTGGGGGGAAATAAATATTCGTACACTTGAAAAATCGTATTTTAATGTATGTAAGTACACAAACTTAACAGGAAAAGTGATTTACCAGTGGCATGGTCCTTCAGACTGATCCTGCTATTAATAAGTATAGATCAAAGAAAAATTTTAGCAAAGATCACGTCACACAAGGTTTGCTCATCTAACCCTACCAAAGTATTCCAAATTTAAATATTAATATAGATACTTTTTCATCATGTATCTGGATCAACATTTGCTTGAATATATTTATCCCTATGCAATTTACAGTTGAACACATGGAGTGGCAGTGTGGAGATTGGTGTGACTGTCTGCAACCCAGACGTCATTGACATTCCGCTCACAGCTACTGACCTTCGTGGAGGAACCTGGGTATGGATATGTATATGTATGTTATTAACTTGTTATGTTACTTTGATCATCATCTTGTTATGTAATAACTGTAATTGCCTTGTAATGTAACTTCATCAATAGTTGTGTTCAATCAATAAATCTATTTTTGAACCAAATATTCTTTGCATCAATAGTTGAATCTTGAAGTAGAATAACCTGATTTATGAATTTTTTTCAGTTTGAGAGCTAATTTGTGAATGAAAGTCTTATTATGCAAGAGCCTTTTATGTTGTATTTTTTTACTGTCTATGGTGTCTAAGGGTTTTAATGTTTTGTAGGTGCTTCTGGGCCATGGTGTGCTCAGAGATGGTAAATCAGTCATGGAGGCATATGGCTGTGATTTGGATCAGCTGGTGGAGGGAGATCGCATTGGAGTCATGAGGAGTGGACATGTGAGTTTATTGATTATTACCTAAGTAATTTTGGTTGTAAATTTGTAAACTCCTTTTTTTTTGGTGTAATACGTACCATATTTTTTATCCTTTTCTGTAATCTGTATTTTTACCTTTTACTGTCTATCTCATGGAAGCATCTCCAAAAAACCTCTTCAGCTGCATTTCCTCATTTTTTTAAATGTTTGTGTTCAATATCAATTTCTCAGACAGAAATTTCAATGTGAGTGAGATGGTATCTATAAGATACCTAGAGCTCTGAATTGAAATTAATGTGTCAAGCTATGAAACTTAATTGATTTAAAATTTTATATTAAATACCTGTACATGATTTGTCTCAAATATGTGTGTACATGATTTGTCTCAAAATACTCTAGAAATATGTATGAATTTTTAAATTTTGCCTGAAACTATATAGGTAGGTACTTATTTCTTGGTTAGGTGATGGTGAGAGGAACCAAGTTGTGTCAAATGCTCCTCCTTATTCATTTAAGTAAACATTGCAAGCCAATAACTCTCTAGATCGCATTCTGCTCAACTGAATTCTGGTCTTCAAACGTCCTCGTGCAAATGATTAATTTTTAAATTAATTAACTATACACATACAAATTATTTCGTTAGGTGGCTATTTTCTTTCCATGTGATCCTAGTTTTAATGTATTTATTAAAAATATATTATTTATTCGTAATTGTTTTTGTTAACTTATCTTTAAATGTTGTAATACCAAAATATTTTTTGTTTCTTCAAGGGATAATGGTGTATGTATTTATGTAATGTTTTAATGTTTTATTTATTTTACAGGGTGAATTAGAATTTTATGTTAATGGTGAGAGCCAAGGCATAGCAGCCATGAACCTCCCACCACTCCTGTACGCCGTTGTGGACATGTACGGCAAGTGTGCCCAGGTTACACTTACGTCGCCTCTACGCTCCCCTGACTCGAGTGAGTAGTACCAACCTTATGTTAATTAGAACATGCTAAGTTGTAAATGCTTTTCTAGTGCTAGAAAACCATTTTTTGCCAACCTGCCCGAGCCAACATTGCAATTAAGAATCAAAATTTGTTAGTAAAAGAATATGACTCAATTTCAGGTTATTTTTACATTTTTCTAAACATGCTTGTAACCTCAATGTATACATAAATAGTGTGTATACATAATTACAAAATTTACCGCCATATGAATGACAATGGGCCAATTCTGTTTGTAAAAAAATTTAGTACATGGCAGAAGTAATTTCAAATCATTAAGGTATCATATAGGTGCCAATATAACAAAGCCACTACTGTTATAGTTTAGAAGCTTGAAACAGTTGCTAACGTATTCATATATGGATCACATTGCATATTCATAAATAATTTATTATTAAAGGAAATATAGGGCAACTGTAACAAGTTCCTGCATTATTGCAGATACCCTTGAAGTGGATTCACCAAGTGCCATATCTGGTTCGTGCTCTGGCTCTGAGAGTCACATCGCGCCTTGTGTTGCAACAGCTAATCAAAATCCTCCATGTGATCCCATTGATCTTCCATCCAGCCTTAATGAAGATGCTCAAGACCTTCTTCCGCCTCTGGAATTGGATCCTGATCCATTGCCAATATTGCCCAATTCATCCTACTTGCCAGTTGAAATAGGATCGGAAAACAACATCCGTAACACAATTGAGCGCCGAAATCAGCTTTTGCAGTTGCAAGGGAGTGAGTCAGACAACCGAAACTTTATGGCTGAGCCTGTTGAACCCTATTTTGATATCGGGTACGAGGTGGAGGAAGCAGATGTTTGTGTAGATTCTGGCTCTCCCATGACTGAAGAAAGAGACCATTTGATGCCATTGGCTGCTTGTGTTGCATCTAATGATGAAGATTCCACTGATAGTGCAGAAGATGAAGAAACTGATGCGGGCGATAAGGGAAACGAGAAGAATCAAAGCAGTCTCAGTGCCGGTGCTGCAAGGACCACACCAATCAGAGATAGCAACATAATCCTGTCCAACACTGAACAGCTCTGCCGCCTGCTAAATGTTCCTATTGCAAGCATCATGGGCAGTGCAAGCTGTTCGAGCCTACAACACGTGGCTACTGCTTGTGGATCATCGAGTAACAGAGATGCATCATGTCTCCCTGATATTTCTGGTAACCCTGATGCGTTATCAAACGGAAATGTATCTCATAATCAGGATACTCAGGGTGCCTGCAACACTTCAACTATCCAGAATACATTGGTTTACCAGGATACATCAAGTAACCGGCATAGGCCGAGTAACCAGGATACGTCAATTGACCAGGATATATCAGGAAACCAGGACACTTATGTTAACTGTGAACTCGATTCTCTTTGGAGCCCTTCAATTATGCGTGATGTGTCGGCCACACGAGGCGCAAGTCTTGGCAACGATTCTGACCGTCTGGCAGCTGTTGAACTTGAGGCTAGTGTTCATCAGACATCAAATGCAAGTGCAGGTTCATCCTCACCTCGTACCAACGTAGCAACTTTTATACAACCTGCCACTGCTACTCAGGGTGATGAGGGCATTTGTCCTTACTCGGATGATCACAACGCTACTCAAGAGATAAGAAGGTTCAACAGCAACTACAGTTTCAACAGTGCATTTGTTAATAACACCATCAACACCATTCGACAATCAGAAGACACTACTCACCGCCTCACAAATGATACTTCCACTACCATTCGTCGCTTTGATAATGCTCAAAATTCAGATTCCCGGAGTGATAACTCACAAGCTACGTTACAGAACGGGTATCACGAGAATCGTTGCTGTGAAGACACGAATGTGAGCGGAGATTTTGCGGCGCGAATGAGCGCTCGTCAACACAACGTCCCCGAAACGAACGCCTCATTGAGCGTCACGTGTCCAATTCAAGGAGCGATAGATGCAGGAGACAGAGGTCGGTCCCAGGATGCGGGACGACGAGCTCAGAGTCCCAGGACTGGACGAAGTGGATGCTTGGGAGCCTCACGCCGGAGCGCCAGTGGAGGCCGGCGGGCTTCTGCTTCAAATAACTCCAGTCCTTATCGGTGGGTTAGGGTTGATACTCCTACCTTGCGGTTATGGGGGGAGTGGGGGACGTGACTTTTTATTGAGAATATTGCACATGATAAAACTAATTGATAGTGTTTTTGGTTGGGCGCTATTCTAGTCAAGCTGCGATAGTTTCTCGGAAATCACGTCATTTCATTGTCTTACAAGTTGAAGCAAATTATTTCATGTAAAAGTTAAACGTGAAAAGTGCAATAAACGTTAAAAAGTTTCACATGTTAGACAAAGCAGCATTTTTTGGTACACTAATTATAATCAGCAGCAAACGCATGTTCCCTCGATGTTGAACACCTCATTAATTGAGTACATTCAGCACCATCCGCAGAGTGATCCTGATAAGAACTTCCAATGTTAATCAATGTTAATAATTTACTGTATTTACGTTACTGGTAATGACCCAATTTGTCTAAGAAGCTTCTTTTACAATTATTTAATTTTAAATTCAGATACGGACGGAGGCCTCGACTGTCACCCACGGCTGGAGATGGCAGCGCTGCCTCAAACAGATCTTGTTCTATGAACTGCCAAAGAAATGAAAACCACGCGGAGCTAAACACCGACTTTTCATCGCCAAATGCCTGCAATAACCAAAGCTTCGACGCCAGCAGCACTCCTGTCCTGCTCAGTGCTAGAGTCAGGGATTCTTCCCCGTCTTCTCCGACTCGGCCTTGCTCGAGCATTGAGTCTCAGAGCCAACGTCCCTTGTTCTCTGCTGGCAGAAATGTGGCGGTCTTAATGAACAGCATGGAACATTCAACAGAGAGACGTGATGAGGCTGTCACAAACGCTGCTAAACAACCCGTGGGTGGGGGTGATAAACCACAAACACAGGGTGCTGGATGTGGAGGCGGGTGTGGTAACGGAGCTCTACCTGCTGAATCCGAGTCAAACCTTGGTGATGCAAGTGGTGGATCGCAGCGAGGAGGTGATAATTCAGATTCCCCGTCCTCAACATTTCCTCTTGCTGCTAATCGCATGGGTGCGACTGATCGGCTTCGCTTCCATGAGAAATGCGGCATGCTCGTGATGTTGTCTAACAACGGACGCACTGCCGAGCGTGTCCATCCTCTCGACGAGTTCAACAACGGCGTCGTCATGAGCAACCGTGCGCTGCGAGAGAACGAATTATTCGAGGTGAGTTATCAGCCTTCGACTAACCGGGCCCAAACTTAACACATTGATGTTGTTGGCAAAAATATTAATTGCACTCGATAATTTAAAATGAAAATATTCTTTAATGCGTAGATAAAGGTACGTACGATACGATAGAAACTGGATCATTCAGCAGAAATTTATAATATTTTATTGATCTACGGAGTGAAAACTCATTGTAGTTGTTGGCATCTTGACTGTTGATGGTACTCAGAAACTGATAACGGTATTCAGTAACTGATAACGGTATTTAGTAACTGCAAACTGCAATGGTACGCAGATACGCATTGACCGGCTGGTGGACAAGTGGTCGGGCAGCATCGAGGTTGGCATCACGACCCACAACCCCGCAACTTTGGAGTTTCCCGCAACCATGACCAACCTACGATCAGGCACCACCATGATGAGTGGTACCGGTATACTCAAGAACGGCAAGGGCATGTTGCGCCAGTATGGTGACTTCAACCTCGATGAACTGCAGGTGAGCATAAACATTTATGAGGTACCATATAAGTGAGCATCATTCTTTAGCCCTTTAACCTTTAGAGTGGAAGACCTCTTGTTAACTAGTGTCTATGTGACTGTGATTTATACTTAACCTTTTACGTGGAGAATACCTTAATTATGGAACACCACCTATTAACAAGTGTCGATGTAACTGTGATTTATGCCTAATATTTTACGTGAACAGACCTTAATTATGGAACACCGCCTGTTAGCAAGTATCTATGTGACCGTAGTTTATGCTTACCATTTTACGTGAAGGAAACCTTTATTATTGAACGCCTCCTGTTCAAAAGAGCGCGTGTAACATTAAATCGCACGGGAATAAAACATTAATTATGGAACACCACCAGTTTAAGATACCGAGTGTATGTGTCCATAGGTACATCTCACGGGAATAATACATTTGATTTACAATGCCGCCATCTGTTCAAACAAAAATATAATCAGTACTCACTGCAGTGAGTGACAGAGAGCGCATTATCTCGTCGACAAAAACGTGAAGTCACGGATGGACAGACATGACGAGCACAACAGCGCATTTTTTACCATAAATGAGAAAATGCGCTAAAAAGCGTGTGTAACTCGTGTTCCGCTGCAGGAAGGTGACAGGATCGGCATGATGATCAGAAGTGGACGGACGCTGCACTACTTCATCAACGGGCTGGAGCAAGGCGTCGCGTCCACCCAGGTGCCCTCACCCGTCTGGTGCGTCGTCGACCTCTACGGCATGACAGTCAAGGTGATCATTAATTGTGTTCTAAATTTTGACAGAAAAATTTAATCTATAAGGACTTTACGGCCTAAGGTGATCATTAATTGTGTTCTGCATTTTTGACAGAAAAATTTAATCTTTAAGGACTTTACGGCCTAAGGTGATCATTAATTGTGTTTTAAATTTTGCCAGAAAAATTTAATCTTTAAGGACTTTACGGCTTGACCATCAAGGTGATCATTAATTGCGTTTTGTATTTTTGACAGAAGAATTTAATCTTTAAGGACTTTAGCGCATGACCATCAAGGTGATCATTAATTGTGTTTTGCATTTATGGCAGAAAATTTTAAGCTTTAAGGACTTTAACCGCATGACCGTTAAGGGGATCATAAATTGCGTTTTTTAACAGAAAATTAGTAACTTTGGGGCCTTTTTAATTTATGATTTGCATTATTTTTTGGAAATAAGCGTAGGTACATTGACTTGTACATCTGTGCAAACGAATAGCCAACATCTTTGGGAGGTTGGCTGCAGGTTTCTAGGTGCACTACGTCATAGTTAGCCGGTGTGTGTGTTGTACCTATTGCTTCATTGCTTTATTCTAACTTCCTTTCACAATTCATTTAATTAAAGAAACTATTTCGTTAGGGTATTATTTCGAAATGAAAATCTGGTGAACATCTTATATTGATTAGTCTCATATAACCGAAATTTACTTTCCTAAATACCGAGTGTAAATTCATATTCTTGAATTTTAATGTAGTCTCATGAAATTTCGAACGCATTTTATTCAAAGATTCTGTACCAAATTTTCTTTGCTTTCTTCTGATCTGCTTTCATAAAAATTTCTTTCCTTCCTGATTTCCACGTTTGCAATTTTCCTTTTTTCCTTGTTTGCTATAAACTTTCCTGTAAAAATATCCCATCTGAGATATTTAAACATATTATTTTGACAGAAAAATTTAATCTCCAAGGACTTTACGGCCTGACCGTCAAAGTGATCATTGTGTTTTGTATTTTTGACAGAAAAGCGCAATCTTTAAGGACTTTACCGCATGACAGTCAAGGTGATCATTAAGTGTGTCTTGCACTTGTTAACAGAAAATTATCCTTCTTTTTTATTTATGATTTGCCTTATTTCTTGGCAATACCGTAGGTACATTGACTTATACATCTGTGCAAACAAATAAATAGCCATCATCTTTTGGAGCTTGGCTACAGGTTTCCAGGTGCACTACACCATAGTTAGTCGGTGTGTGTGTAGTGTTGTACCTATTGCATCATTGCTTTATTCTAACTTCCTGACACAATTCATTTAAAGTCATTTAAAGAAACTATTTCGTTAGGGTATTATTTCGAAATCATGAAAATCTGGTGAACATCTTATTTTGATTAACCCATGGTTCGTACCGTCATGGAAAACCTAGAAAGAAAGTCATGAAATTTGATTTTTCATTTTCCAGGCCTGGAAAGTCATTGGATTTCATTTCAGGTTATAGAAAGTCACGAAATTTGCAAATAAAAGAAAAAAATGAAGTTTTTTTTTCTGTGATGCGTGTGTTAAACTGTTTGTGCAGTCTCTTGTTTCATGCGTTCTGATTGGAGAACCAATCACGTGAGTTCGGTCACCGAGCTCAGTTGCATTGGACAACTTTTTGATCTGCAGTGGCAGCGTTCCATCTTCAGCGTGCAATTTCTACATAACCATGTCTGGAAAGTGTAAATCGCATGACTTGTGGTTAAGAATTGAAGCTTATCGTGACTGGCTTGCTCGCTTTCCAAAGCATCAAGGTATGGCAATATGTACATTGTGCTCGAAAGACTTCAATGTGTCAAATATGGGGGAAGCAGCTTTGAAGAGCCATGCCACCTTTGAAGAGCCATGAAAAGCTATGCTTATACACGTTTGCTTTTTATCACCTGTAGCAGATGGTAGAATATGCACGGGTAGACTTTCAGTCATGCTAAACCTGTCGTATACTAAGTCTTGGAAAATGATATTGATGGTCTGGAGAGTCATGGAAAAGTCCTGGATTTTTTTTTCTTCTAAATGCCGGTACGAACCCTGTTAGTCTTATATAACCGAAATTTACTTTCACAAATAAATTTTCTTGATATTTATATTAAATTCATATTCTTTAATTTTATTGTAGGTAGTCTCATGAAATCCCGAACGTATTTTCTTCATAGATACTGTACTAAATTTTCTCTTTTCTGATCTGCTTTCATAAAAATTTCTTCCCTGCCTAATTTCCCTGTTTGGAAATATCCTTCCCATAAAACTTCCTATTTTCCAATGTCCTTTCTTAACATTGCCTTCGCTGCCAACTTTCCTGTTAAAATATCCCCTCTGAGATATTTAAACATATTATATAATATGTTAATATTATGTTAGAAATATGTTTTAAATATGATATATTACCGTGGCAGGTGACGCTGGTAGACCGTGACCCCCGCGAGGCACAGAACCTCCTGACGCGGCAGACCGCCCTGCCGCCCGAACTCCGGACCCTTCCTGCCGACTGTCCCGCGCACCCTCACGCAGGTCAGGAGATTATTTGTGGACTTTGTCTAGGACTTACATGTGGACTTGGTCCGCCTTAACTATGTCACACACTTGGTTACATGTGTGTAGTTAAGGACTTACTCATGGACTTGGTCTAAGGCTTACCGTACTTGTGGACATAGTCATGGACTTACTTGTGGACATAGTCAAGGACTTACTTGTGAACTAAGTCAAGGACTTATTTGTGGACTAAGTCGTGGATTTACTTGTGGACTTGGTCAAGGACTTACTTGTGGACTTTGTCCAGGATGTACTTGTGGTCCTTTTTAAGGACTCCTATACTTGCGGCCATGTCCAATGCTTTTTTTTTGGACTTGGTCAATGGGTTAGGCCATTGGACAACTGCGCGGTCTTAAATATTGAATAGCTGCGCAGCCTTGGCCATGACATTACTGTACTGCCTTGGTTAGTGACTTACCTGTCCTTGGTCAGCGACGTATCTGTCCTTGGTCAGTGACTTATCTGTCCTTGGTCAGTGACTTATCTGTCCATGGTCAGCGACTTATCTCTCCTTGGTCAGTGACTTATCTGTCCTTGGCCATTGACTTATCTGTCCTTGGTCAGCGACTTATCTGCCCTTGGTCAGTGACTTATCTGCCCTTGGTGAGGGCTCACTCGCCTCAAAGTTGTATGCTTGACCAGAGTTTGGCGTTCAGGTGACGGCGAGCAGCGGCCCGGCAGCCCCGACGCGCTGCACTTCAACGCTCAATGCGGATCCTCTGCGCAGGTCATCAATGGCGGCATCACTGCGCTCAGACCAAAGTGAGATACTTAGCTTCCTAATATTTTATCATAAATATCTTGCTTACGTACGGACGGATACCATGAATCAAAAGGTAGCTTTTCCGTTGACGTGTAATCTTTAGTAACCTTGGTGTGCGCTTCGTACTTAACAGTCCCAGGGCATGCTGGAGCGCTGCCTCAGTGGCATGGCCTACGTAAAAAACTTTTCTTTATTCACGTCGACATCGACACAACAGCGTTATTACGACTACTGAGTCTCAACTAATAAATCTACACCGTAGAACTATTTGGGTCCTCCGCGTTCTGACCTTTACTGACGACCTCGTCGGCGACGAGTTTACCATAGTAATTAACTCCGAAAGTGTACTGCATTTTCTGATAATTCTTAATATCATTCGCCATTAATGGAATCGTTAGAGAAAGAACAGCCTAATCAAGCTTATCCTGGTCGGACTGGGGTGCATGCCAGAGGTGACCTGGGTGCTCAGACAAGCAGGAGTGCGAGGAAACGACAGGGCGGACGAGGTGACGGTGGGTGCTACGTTTTGGGCAATCCACAGCGAAGAGGTGCCATGCTACGACCACTACTCTTTCATCAAGACTAGCGTCCATCATGTATGAGGAAAGCTGTGGCTCAACGTGAGGACAATTAAGAGGCGCACACCAATGACTGTACGCCATGGCGGAGTGTCCTAGCTACAGTGACGTCCAACAAAACAGCTGCTATCCTAACAAATCTGCCCTGAAGCTACCAGCAAAATTCTGACGTGGATGAAGAAGGCCTCAAGAAGAAAATTAAAAACAAAGAAAATTAGGCAATACTTGACTGAATGCAACCTACTCCTGGTTATCTCGCTCGCACGAAACCGTTACTTTATATGAGAGAAAATTCTACGTGCCTAACTCATGACCCAGTAATGATATTGATATAATCATTAAATACAGACTTCTCTTTAGAATGATTCCATTGACTTCATCTGTTTTAAGAAACTCTGATGTACTAATTTGAATGTGGAAACGTTGCTCTCGTTCAGTGCCCACGAGGACTTCAACCACGGCGTGGTACTTTCGTCGCGCCCTTTGAGACCGGGCGAAATTTTAGAGGTTCGTTTGGACCAGTGCGTTGATAAGTGGGCAGGATCGCTTGAGATCGGCGTCACCACCCACTCGCCCCACTCCCTCGATTACCCGTCTACCATGACCAACGTCAGGTGAGTTGCATTTACTTCTCCACAATGAACAATTTCTGGCGAATGTCGTGATAGTGACCACTTCTCCACCATAACAAACGCCTTCGTTCCACTTCTTTACCAAACCAACCTCAGGTGTTTATATATTATCAAGTGCCAGGGAAATTTCTATTACTGTTAAAGCTGAAATCAAGTCCACAATGTGTGAGTTTAGTTATGATCTCCGTTTGATCGTCGTGTAACTGGTTGTTATGATTGACGTTTGGCTGTAACCTGGCGATACGAACCGTAATAAAAATAAATGAAGTAAAATGCCTTGTTAGGTTAATAGCTTCTCGTCCTCAGAGTCCCCAATTGTCATCGGTTCTCCGATTATATCAAGTATTTAAAATAATACAAATTTTGGTCTTTTTATCTTTCTAGCATTATACAGTTATTTATTAATTGATCTTTGTAGCATTTTACAGTAAACTCTCACCCCCAGAACGGGCACGTGGATGATGACGGGCAACGGCGTGATGCACAACGGCACGACCGTCATCGACGAGTACGGCCTCAACCTGGACCGCCTCAGGGTGAGCCTTTCCAGCTGAGAGGTCCCTGGGACCTGTCTCTGGGTCCTGGCTCTGGGTCCTGGCTCTGCAGGCTTGTTTGCAACCTCTTGTGCTGCAAATTTCAGCCTGCAGATAATAGGCAAATTATTGATTTGATTATGAAGCTAATTAATTCCTTTATTTCATTTGAATTTTCAAGCTTTCCAAAAGTTGACCATCAAATTTATTACTGTCGTTTGCAACGTTAAAATTTTGCCATCTTGATTTTGTGCTGCAGCCTGCAATTTCAGCCTGCAGATAATAGGCAAATTATTGATCAGATTAGGAAGCGAATTAATTTCTTTATTTCATTTAAATTTTTAAGCTTTCCAAAAGTTGACCATCGAATTTATTATTGTCGTTTGCAACGTTGAAATTTAGCCATCTTGATTTTATGCTGCAAAAATAATGGGCAAATTTCTGTATGCGTTGACTGCTATTGCTGACATTCGGAGGTTCTGTCTGGGTACCTGATGTTTAGAGGGAACTTTTGCTTGCATTCTCAACAAAATTCTATCATGTAAATCAAGAACCTGTTTAGATTGTGCAGCTAATTATTTTGCTCATAAATATTATTTAATACCGCATACCTACATTGTGTGGCGAATTATTTAATTATTAATGGAAGCTTATGCCGTGAACTATGTACTGTGCTCAACACTGAATATTTGTGGCAGGCTGTTGAATTAATTAAGCATCAAGTCACGGTTGCATTTTTATGAGAATACATTACCCCGACGTGGCAGGTGGGTGACCGCGTGGGTGTGGTGCGCCACGCTAACGGCGCCGTGCACTTCTTCGTCAACGGCGTGGACCAGGGCGTGGCGGCAACGGGCGTACCGGAGACCGTGTACGGCGTGGTCGACCTGTACGGTCAGGCGGCGCAGGCGACCATCGTGCAGCAGGGGACCGTTGCGCCCTGTCCGTCCAACGTCACCGCCGCTCAAGGTGTGCGCTTTTCGTGCACAATGATCTTGGGTTGGCCTTAACTCCCCTTGTTTCTACTGACGGTAAACTTATTGATAAGGCCTTTAGATGCGTGTAGCATTGACGATAGTTGAATGTATCCGCAGACAGGTGCCCAATGACCAACCCATTTTCTTTTGACTGTAACTTTAGCTGCGAGGCCTTTGGATGCTAATAACATTGACGACAGTAAAGCACTCACGGATATATGGTGACGAGGCGTCTGTCGCTGTCTATGTTGCACACTTGAATCCATCCTCGACACCTGCAAAAAATGATGGCTAACAATGCGGTCGACCAGGTGTTTTCGTTATTTCATAAGATAATTGCGCTTTCGGGCAGTTAATGTGGCTGCTGATGACGAAAATAACTTCCCCATGAAATGAATTAATTTCGCCCCTGGCGACAGTTTCCTTGAACTTACGGTGCTAATCACTTACGGGATCCTCGCTCAACTTTATCTTCCTGTGTATTTATTTTCCCGCTCTCTGAGCAGTTAGTATGAGCCTTATTTTTGCCCGCAGGTGCAATACATGCCGATTCTGCGACGCCACAGGCGTCTGCCGCAGACTGTGCCTCAACGACGCCTGCAGTAGAGACGCAGTCCACCCTACCGGCACCGCATCTGCAGCAGCAACCCGCCTCTGCCACCATCTACAGGTGTGTGCCACCACTGGTACTTTGCTTATCACGAATACTGGAAGCAAATTCTAATCCTGACATTTCCATACACTCTGAATTTAAACCTGTAGTGATTTTTTTAGGTTACAAGTTTTTTTGCTATTCTGCACCTGAAACTATGCATAAATTTTGCTCGTGCTATTCCCGTTATCATCAACTGAGACAAGAAACTTATACCGAATGCTCAAGCTTGTACAGATACTCGAAAAAAACTTTGTATTATCCATGGTTCATTCATTCCATGAACGAACCATGATGGTTCATTCATTCCATGAATGAACTATCACTGTATTATCCATGGTTCACATTCATTCTTGTCCATTTTTACTATTATTCACCCAAATTTCCCACTGATGCTGGCATGGTACAAGGCCTTTTAAAGTTTGACGAGGTGCTCGCTTTACAGCGACTTGCGCTTCCACGAGCTGCACGGCCGCAACGCGCGCATCATCAGGGATGGCCTGGGGGCAGAGCGCCCCCACGCGGACGCAGAGTTCAACGACGCCATCGTCATCAGCAACCGGCAGCTGCTCGAGGGCGAGATGTTCGAGGTGTCTGTTTTTTATTACACATAATCTTCAGTCAACGGATAGGAAAATGCTTCTCTAGGGGAAAATTTTAGTGGAGGTGAACTTCTCTTACTTTTTCCTCTTTAGTGGAGGTGAACTTTTCTTCATAAATCTACTCGCAGCTAAACTCATGCACGCGCAACGCTATTGCGCGAAGAAACTTGCAATTAGATTTGCGGACGCAATATATTATATAAAGGAGTTGCTCGTGAACATAAATTAATAAATATTCAGCCTTCAATAATACGATCAGACTTGGGCAATATAAATTTGCGTTACCATGGATGTATGTTAGATCTATCGGTGACCATTCTTTCGGCATAGCCATTACCCCGCACTTATGCTGTATCGTATTTTTATTTTATTAATAATTGTTTTTTTTATTGAAAAAGTGTACTCCATACAAACATAAATTTTTTCCTAATATATGACAGCAATTATTTACCTATATATTTTGGTCAGGTGATGATCGAGAAGGTAGTGGACAGATGGTCAGGGTCTCTAGAGGCCGGAGTGACCGCCATCCACCCCGAGGACATCGAGTTCCCCACCACCATGACCGACATCGACTACGATACCTGGATGCTGAGTGGCTCTTCCGTCATGATGAACGGTGCGTGCCTCTGGCACGATGTGGTGCATGCCTCTGTGGCACGATGTGGTGCGTGCCTCTGTGGCACGATGTGGTGCGTGCCTCTGTGGCACGATGTGGTGCATTAACATTTCTCACCTCGAGTTGTTTTCTCGGCAGGCGTGTGGGCGGTTGTGGACTTGTATGGACAGTGCGCTCAAGTGTCCATCGTTCACAACCCCGTCAGCTGCGAGCAACTGTCAGCTGCTGCAGCTGCTCGTCTCGCTGACACCTGCAAGCGTCAGCAACAGCAGCAACCCCCGCAACCCAAACTTGATTCTGCCTTGAAAGAGCAGGTTAGTGTTTAATGAATACCCGTATATTTTCATTGCGACAAATGAATGGTGGTGCCATTGGACCAGTAGGTGCTTTCATCATCAGTTGTTAATTTCACGAACTGATGTGTTGCTTTTTGTATTGTTTAGATCCACTTAAATGATAAATCAATTGAAAATATATCTTGTGTTAAGTGACTGGAATGAACCGAACGCCAAATTATAGTTCATTACTCCATCTTTTATGTCCGTTAATTTAGTTATTGAGAGTGAAAATAAAGGATAGACATAATGCCCTGGTTCCACCAAGTACGCTTAGCTTTATCTATTGTTTTAGATTTCAATTCTATTTGATTTCCTTGGAAGCTTCGATCATTTTTTCAAGTTTGGATGTGTTCGTTAGCTCTCGTGTTTATTGTAATAAACCTTATTTTCCTCTGGATGAACGTCAGGCGTGCCACCAGTTCAGCTATTGTCACGGCAGCGGCGTCACTGTTTCGGACAGCCGTGATTTGGTCTACCGCAACAGCCGCCAAGAAGGTTCAACTGCCATGAACCAAACTTCTTGCCTTGCTTTCTCCAGCACTGCTTTGTCGTGCGACGAACTTTTTGAGGTAAACAGCCGTATTTATTTGCGCCTATGGTCCGTTAAAGCTTATTTTAGATTGAGTCATCTCTTGGAGAAATTCAAATCCATTTTATTCACTGATTCACTCGGAATATCTAGACAATGTCTCGTTATATTCACCTCAAATTCTGAGATTGTTCTGTGTGTGATCATGACCGGTCAAATTATTGTGTCTTTTATAGGTTCGGATAGCGCGACTTGATCCAGAGCTTCGTGGAAGTGTTCGGATCGGCCTCACCACGCTCCCTATGCTACCAAATCTTTCCATCCACTCAGTGCCTCCATCTTTATCTTCAGTCCATCCAGTACCTCCGTCGGACACTTGGTGGATCGGGGGCAGTTACGCCTACCATAATTACTGCGGCTGGAAATCTTCAGCTGGCACTCAGAGTGTTAATGCTAACAACGCAAGTCCTGATGACGGAGCTTCAAATAGCGCCCAATCCTACAGGAACGCCGCCAACGAAAGTGCCAACAGAAACGTTTCGTTCGTTGACCGGTGTGGCGGCGCTCCAAGTAGAATGAACGCGGCTTGGACTGTAGCTGTTGTTAAACATGACTTTTGCCCTCATTTATCGAAGCTTCTTGTTGGCGACCGCGTAGGAGTTAAGAGAACCTCAGATGGATGCATGCAACTCTTTATCAACGGATTTGATTTTGGAGTGGCCACGACCGGTATCCTCGATACTCACGTTGTTCACGGGGTCATCGAATTACACGGTAACTGTATTGCCGTTGAGACGACCTCTTTTGTCAAAGAAGACGTGAGCAGTCACGGTAATGCTTCAGGTCCTTCAGGGGTAGCTGCAGCTGGTGGCGTGTCCCAGGACTCGTTGGAACTTTCCGCCGGTTCGCCTTCAAGAGTAGTTCAGCCAAGAGCTGCTGACGGTGGTGCGAGACCAGCTCATGACGACATAACTGCATGGGATGCAAGTGCCAGTTCAGTGGGGGCCGCCGATCTCCCTGGCGCTGCGGGCGGTGTGCGCTACAGCACCAGGACGTCTTTCACATTCGGGGAGCGTCACGGCAAAAATGTGTTGCTCTCCGCCGACCGCACGACGGCTGTCCGGCAGAGAGGATACAATCACGGCCTTACTTTCAGCGCGCGACCGCTGGCTCGCAGCACCATGTTCAAGGTGAGTTCTGCGACTAGTTATATGAGTATGCAATATTTTAATATAACAATAGTAACTAACTTCCTTTCAAGCTGAGATTCGCTTCCTATTTTCATCCTTATGCGTGAAGACCAATCATGAAGTAATTCTTCGTACCGAGTGATTCCATTCACGTTGTTCTCTCGTTGTACATGAAAATGCCCATGAAAGTCTTGCTGCCCCTTCAGTTCTTCGCGTCTAAGTTTTTGCTCATTTTTGCAACTCTATGTACATTTGTTGAGTACAAATAGTTCAAATATAAGGGACAATGTGGGTATATAAATGAAATCTTCTTTTAATACGGATAATTTTCGGAACACTCAGAGCAAGGTTAATAAAATACCTACGTACATCTTGCTCTCGTGTAAAGCTGATAAAGAGGCTGAATTTTGAAATACTTTGCTTGAGCCATCGCTGGAGGAAGATGTTTATTCTGTTCATAAATGAAACATTTTATCCTCGACAGTTAATTCTGAAACACGAAACTTCAGCTATTGATATTCCGGCAACTTATATTTAGTTTTCAACTACTTTCTTTTCTTCTTTGGTTCGGTCTGGGAACAGATTATTATTTAACTCCTGTTAAGTATATAGTACTTTTTAATCCCAAGTCTAAAGTAATTTTTGTGTACTTTTTTTGCCACCATGTTCGTACGTATGATGCTTTGTTTCACCTTAAGATATCAAATTCATTGCCACTTCTTACGTTCAGATTTTACTAAGCGGCGTGGACTCGTCTTTCTCTGGCGGGATCATGCTCGGGCTTCTTGCCCATGCGACGTCGTCAGATGACGACAGCTCCCGTGGCCACACGGTCTTTCCAGAGGACCCGTCTGTCCACGGCACGTCACTCCCGCTCCTGGCAGGGTCGCGGTCCAGCGTAATGCCGCCTGAGGACGCTGGACGGTGGGCGAGCTCGCCCCTGCTGGATGACTTGCCGTCCTCGGCCCTGGGCCTACTCGCTGCCCCTGGATACGATTGTGTGCTCATCAGCGACACCGATGTCTATCGGGGCCATTCCAAGGTAACCAGTTCTCAACGAAGGTTATTTATAGAAATTTGCTTAAGGTCTAATAGTCAGTCATATTAATCTATTGATTGTTGAAGAATCGTATATTTTATGAAAGCGAATGTTGAAAGTAATAAACTAGAAGCACTTTTTATTCGTTGTAGGCACACTCATGGTTTCAAAGCTATAATCGGAGCACATTAACTAACTGTATGTCTAATTCTACAGCTATTTGCGCTCCACCAAACATTGTTCCGAATATTTCTTTAAAAAAAACTGGCCTTTAATTAACTATTGTTTTTCCCAGCTGAGCAGCGGGTACGGTCCAGGCCTGAGCTCTGTTACATCGGGCACGCACCTCGGTCTCTGCATCGACGCACATGCACGCCTTCATCTCTTCGTTAACGGCCGGGACTGCGGCGTGGCGGCGCATAACGTCCCCCTGAACCCGCACGTTGTGATCGACCTCTATGGTGCAGCGACTGAGGTACGCTATGAGATCCATGTATGGTAACGTTAGCAACGTGTTTTTTTTTCGAAAAAATTGGCACGAATGACCCAAAGTGCCTCAGGAAAGTTATTTGAGAAGTATGAGCTCCTTCGAATTTAATAACTAAGCAACGCAATATTGTCTCAATTAGACAACATCAGGAATAATAATTCCATGAGAAAATAATATATCTTGAAATCCTGAGTTTGTATGCGTGTGCAATAACACGGGAATCTTCTGATTTGAATGGCTCATCTATAATCTATTAGTGAATGTATGTGAACACTGAATGAAGTGCTTATTAATATATTTTTCTCTTAGGAACAGAGAAGATTTTCTAATTTTCGCAGTGTTTTTTATTCTCTAAGTTGTTTAAAAAACCTAATGAACATTAAAATATATTGAATTTGTAATGGAATGCCTTTGTTGATGTTGCCCATTAGTGATCACTAACGAATTTGATATAAAGTTTTTATAATTAATTTCGGCCTTATTGGGAAGCTTGTAACGGAATTCAATACGTTATGGGCTCCCTTAGAAAGTTTGTAAAAAATACCATTGCACTTGAGTACTTATGTGGAAACTAATAAATAGCAACAATTAAATTATATTCTTGGGATCGCCGTAACTCTTGTCATAAAAGGCAATTAATGTTTGTTTGTCACTTGAGGTGCTGATCATCCATGGCGACGACGCAAGTCACTGCGGCGTCGCGGAACAGGCGCTCAAGAAGAAGACCCAACACAACAGCAACCAGCAGCAGCAACAACTCAGTAGGCGGCAGCAACAGATGAATGACACCAGCAGAGCGGAAGGAGAAATCTTCGTCGTGTCCAGTCACGACGAAATGAATCTTGCAATTTCCCGGTCTATGAACAGCAGTGCCGAACATGTACTGAATTCCGCCCCTATCTGTTCCGATAAGCCAGCAGTTACTGGTGATGCTTGCAACAAGAGTGCGAGTCTCGGCAACAGCGTCAGTAATATTAACCTTCATTCTTCAATAGCCGCTGAAGTTGACAATGGTGTTGTTGCCTCTAATGCCCCTATCAACACAAGCAACTACAGCCATTGTAGTGCACCATGTGACAATAATGAATCAGCTGCACCCACCACTTTCCGTATCGAGAATCTCAATAGACTGAAGGTTTGTATTCTCATTTGTCAGATTTATCAATTTTCTTAGAATATAATTTCTGTATTTGGTAAGTGTAGAATCGCTGATAGTCGTTCTTCTTCTAGCAGAAAAATTAATATTCCGTTTTCTAAATTCTACAAACACTTTGGGAATCTAATTTTACTCATCATTATAATGGAGTCCTAATCCTTGATCAACTTCTGTTATATTTCATGTGAATTCAAAATCTTGTTCAATCAAACTCGTTTGTTCACGTCATTTAAATATTATCCTCTGTAGAAATACCCGATCTTTCACGATTAATCTCAAAGTAGTTCATTGTTTCAACGAGGCGTCAAAGTTGGTGTGTTGAAATACTCAAGGATGTAATTCAGTTATTATTGTTTCCAGGTTGGTTGTCTAGCGCTAGAAGGGAGCGCGAAGAAATGTCCCTACCAGAGGCTGTGTTCTCGCTTCTTGGCGTCCATGTCGTTGCCTGGTGAGATACTCTTGCCTTTAATTATTGAATTAGTGACTCCTACTTTTAATTACTTAGAATTAGTGACTCCTACTTTTAATTACTTAGAATTAGTGACTCCTACTTTTAATTACTTAGAATTAGTGACTCCTGCTATTGACTTCTTCTTTTGAGACAGGCTGACTGAGCCGAGGGTCTTGGCCAGGACAATACCAGTGGTTACAAATTAATTACTTGATTTTATACGATTTATAGAGAAATAATATTTTTCTTTTCCCAACAGTGGCATGCCAGATGTTAGGCAAAACCAAATTCGTGAATCTATGTTTTGCTAATTGACATTAGAAACGTTTCATTGAACACTTCAGGTTATGCAGACTTGCTGGCTCATCTCTTCGTGTACAATCTCGCTAGCCTTATCCTATTTTCACACTACGCCTCATATGGATCATCTTGTCACACTCTCGTTCTACAATTTTTTTTTCATCGACGCGTTTATGCGCCCATCCTCAGCGATAGCTAAAGCTGATAGCCTGTCTTCTTTGTACTTATGCATGAAGTGCGTCGCTGGGGCGCTTTTTCCCATAAATTCTGCTCCCATGTAATGTCCTATCTGGGACATTAATGGCAGAACGGTTATTGGATACACAACGCTTGAACATTAAATTTGCTTATTTATAACACCGTCATGACTGAATCTGCCAAGCACGCTGTCGTTATCAATCTTGCGGCTCCCGTTCCTCCATAACAAAATAATTTTAGTGGAAATTTTTGCTTGTGTTTTCAATTAAGTGGTCCAGGCATTAATTCCGGGTGTGATTGGGCAGGAGCTTACTTCACTAGCGATGTTTTGTGCTACTGTGACGTCTGTTATCGCGCTCGAGGCGAAGAGGCCGTCTACACAAAAGGCAAGTTTCCGGTTAAATCCCTTGCAAATTCTGATAAGTTTCCTTATAACTCGCATAAATTTGATTTATTCGTCGGCTGCGCTTTATTGATATTTTTACACTGCAAAAAAAAACTTGTCTGACGTTTTACCTGTTTTTACCTTGTAGAAACTCGAACTTGGACATTTTTTTCAACTTTAGATTAAATTTTTCCTCTCCTGGCATTAGGAAAACAGACGTAACCAGGCCAAGTTGTCAGAAAACAGAGCCTTTATTTCAATTTTGGCCTGACTCCCTTCCCTGCGCAGGCAACGGTGTGGAGTATCATCGACCTCTTGGGTGGTGTCGCTACGGCCTGGCGTCGGGCAGCGGCGACGCCGTGAGCGACTCGTGGCACATGGCGTACTGTGCCACCAAACCTGGACAAGTGCGACGCATGCTCGACATAGGCGAACTCCTATTCCCTGGTGAGAAAAATTACTGGAGGATATTTTGGCTTCATTTAATATTGAACCTGGGCAGGTCAATTTTTAGAATAGAACTCCCCTCTGAATGGAATCGCAAACCCATTCTATACGGAAACATGGACCATTTTCCATGTTTATCATATTTTCTAAGGGCATGTAGTTACCGTCAGCAAACAAAGGGTGAAAAACTTTGAATGCTACGGCATCATCAGAAGAACGCCCGTATCGTGAATAATTTTTTATAAAGATCTTGCAATGCATTCGCAAGCTGTGAACGTTCAAAAATCTGAATAAAAGTTTAATTTACGAGTTGAATAAACTTTTAATGAAGTTCGAAAAGTAATGTCGAAATTAGTTTAAAAGAACTTAACAACGTTTACAGCTGGCGTATGTGTGCGTGTTGCCGAGATATTTATGCTGTTGATAAAGGAATATTTCACACAATAGCGTAGCCTACTCGTGAAGTTGTTTCGTTAACTCTTATACTGAAAAAGGATAAAGTAAGATGGATCGTTTGTCGATTGTGAGTAAGATGAATCGTTCGTCGATTGTGAGGGCAGATATCTTATGGAGAGAGTGGATCAGGGCAATTATTCGTTGATGATAGCTCGTCTCGTAGATCATTAGGATTACTCGAGATGTGTCGAAAGTTTGTCGTTATACACAATACAAATCTATGTTCGTAGCTTTGTTCTTCGCACTAAACGTTCACACAGCCCTATAACGGTTGCGCATCACAGGTCTGACTACTTGTTCCCTTTGCGAAGTAGAACTCCATCAAAGACAATGTGACATCACTTTGAGGTGCCACATTTTCATCGTTCAATTACGTCTTTGTTGTTTTCACATGGTGGTTAAAATGGACAACTGAGGTAGGAGTTCTTCACTAACGTTTTACAGGCGAGTTGGAACTAAGCTTTCCACGACGGGGAGGTCGCAGTAAAGAAGATGAAGGCGATGGTTCCATGATATGCGTGTCTCCGAGCGTCGCGGTCGCTGCTGCTGCCGCAGTGAGAAGAATTACGGACGGATATCCTGGTTTTATTTTATATTCAACCTGGGCAGGCCAATTATTAGAATACAACTCCCCTCTGAATCATAAACCCATTCTCTACGTATACAAGGACCATTTCCCATGTTGATCATATTTTCTAAGGGCATGCATATACCGTTAGCAGACAAAGGATGAAAAGCTTTGAATGCTGCGGCATCAGAAGAATGCCCGTATCGTGAATAATTTTTTTAAGATCTTGCAACGCAATCGTAAGCTGTGAAAGTTAAAAATCTGAATAAAAGTTCAATTGTTGAGTTGAATACATTTTTAAGGAAGTTCGACAAGTAATGTCGAAATATAATTGAAAGAACTTGAAAACGTTTACAGCTGTCGAATTTATTTAGGCTGTTGATAAAGGAATATTTTACACGATAGCGTAGCTTACTCGTAAAGTTATTTCAACTATTTCAACGTATTTTTTTCAACTCTTTTACTGAAAAAGGATCAAGTAATATGGATCGTTCGTCGATTGTTAGTAAGATATCTTATGGAGAGAATGGACCATGGAAATTATTCGTTGATGATAGCTTGTCTTGTAGATCATTAGGATTACTAGGTTTTTTGTGGCGAAAGTTTGAAACACAATCCAAATCTATTTTCGTGGATTTGTTCTTCGCACTTAACGATTACACAACCCTATAACGGTTACGCATCACAGGTTTGGCTACTTGTTCCCTTTGCGGAGTAAAACTCCATCAAACACAATGTGACAGCACTTTGAAATGCCATATTTTCATCGTTCAATTACGCCTTTGTTATTTTCACATGGTGGTTGAAGATGGACAAGTGAGGTAGGAGTTCTTCATTATCATTTTACAGGGGAGTTGGAACTGAGCTTTCCACGACGGGGAGGTCGCAGTAAGGAAGATGAAGGCGATGGTTCCATGATATGCGTGTCTCCGAGCGTCGCGGTCGCTGCTGCTGCCGCGCTTCCTACTGTCAGGTTCGTTTATGTATTCTTTAGTAATTGAGGCAAACGGCTGCTAAATCCTTCATCAGTTATGGGATGAATTTTGATAGCAGGCTCTCGTGGAAATCCCAGACTCAGAAAAGCAGTTTCCTAAAGAGATTGAACCTGTTGAGACACGTGGCCGGGCTGACATGGGGAGCCGACAGACTAACACTGTTGCGCCTCTACAGAGCCACAATCAGATCTAAGTTAGACTACGGCTGCATAATATACCAATACGCCAGTAAAGCAACCCTATCTGTATTGGATTCCATCCATAACGCAGCTGTATAAATATGCACCGGAGCCTTCAGAATATCCCCTGTCCTCAGCCTAAAAGCAGAGAGTTGTAAACCACCACTATACCTACACAGAGCACAACACACGCTCTTATTCAACTTATAACCCGCCTTAAACAACTACCCCAATCCCTAATGTGGCACAGCGTTATGACCGATGATCAAGCTAATCTACTCACATATAAGAAACCAAAACTCTGAAGACCACGAAGCACTACTGGAAGCAGCACATATACCGCAGATACGAGTGGTCCCTCTAAACCTCAATGGGACGCCCACGTGGCGAATCGCAATTTGTTGAACATGGCAGTGTTAAACATGGCCATCTTAAATGAAGAAGTCCCAAGCCGCGACTATTACCCCATAATCAGAGCAGGCATCCGTAGTGTGTGGCAAAATCAATGGCAGAATGTTGAGGAAAATAAGCTGCGAGCTCTGAAAGACAGCGTACGAACCTGGAACTCGTCCTATTAGCGATCGCGTCGTATGGAAGTTGCCCTGTGTAGGCTAAGGATCGGTCACACATGCCTCACCCACAGTTACCTTATAGAACAACACCCAATGCCTTACTGCAACGACTGTCTAGGCCCTCTGGCAGTGATGCGCGTGATAGCAGAGTGCCCAAACTACACCGCCGACCGAATGAACTGCTTCCCCGATACATCCCTACTGAACCCAGACGAAACCTTTGCCAGGATCCTAAGGGAGATTCCCCGAACTAATTTTAGAAGAGACAACCTCGTGTAATAACTGACAATGTAACCTGCTCCGAGAACTCTCCCTGAGTACGCCAACTTGATGCCACGCATACTAATCTCGCGACCTAGCCGTATCCTCGCGACATCGAACCTTGACCGCTCAACTGAGCGATGGGAACTTTTGAGGGGACATCCGCACTGTGAGTACAAAACTGACCACAGCCTCCATTATTGTCCGAGTGAACTAAATTACAAGCCCGAAAAACTCGGGAACGACGACGCTCTGTAAATGACAGTTTTACCTTCGCCGCGAAACAGATCAAGATTTTCTAAAGCGCTAGAAACCTACTACTACTACTACTTCTACTCATCGGTTGTGAATGCAAATTTAAAAATCTTTAATATTGCTCCTCCTTTTCTCAGGTCAGTGCGTTTCTAGTCAACATTTGGTTGATGGTTTTTATTCATGCCTCCTGATCCGAGTTGCTCCTAGACTGTTTTTATTGGCCTGCATACTAGGCACGTGCAGCAGCCAATTTAGGGCAAAAACGCTTAGCTGGGAGCACTCAGGGCTCAAAGAACGGTCTTTCTAGGAGGTAGTTGAAACGCATGCTCTTCTTATTGTCTGATTCGTATGTTCATAGCTTTTTCTTCCATGTGCAGTTTATTGGAACGTGGTTCAGGCCGCTGCTTCAGCGGCCGCGTGATGCTGCAGGTCGCTGTCAAGCCCGGCGCTTACAAGAAGCTCGAGTGTGATAATGAGACTTCGGTGGCTGCAGCAACCACAGGCGGCGCTCCGGCACCTCCGACCGCTGCTGCCCCATCGCGGCCCAACAGGAGCGAGAGCAAACCACACACACGCGTCCAGTGGGTCACCAAGGAGCGCGGCGCCACGCAGCTACTGGCGCTCCTCGTCGCCGTCGAACAGGTTGACAAGTCCACGTCCTAGTGATCTTCTCCATTATTCGTGGCTGTGCTTTGCATGTAGCATTTAAATCTTGCGTTGTCACCTGACTTAAAGTTAGGGACTCGAATCGAATGCAATTTTTATAACAATTAAAATCCATTATGCTTATGACGAGAACGCTAGTCAAAAAAGCAAATTATTTTTTTTTTCATGATTCTAGAGCAGTTAAGGCGAGCGAAAAATGGGTCAGCTTCGCAATCTTTGTACTGATCCTGTAGATGAAGCTAACCTTGTCGTTCATGAAGATGGAAACGAATCTAAACAGCAGGAACTATTGGAATTCTAGTTGCATATGTTAAAAACTAGTTTCGATGAAAAGGCTCTCAGCTGACGGTAATATCAAGCTACTCTTCAGAATCTCGCGTGTGTAAAAAAATCGAGTAAAGCCTGGCTGCAAATGAGAGTCTAACTCGAACGACTGCAACATTGTTATCAGTTAGCCTCTAATTTATTGCGTATAACCTGGCGACAATTCGGAAAAGGTAATGTATCCGATAAGCTTTTCTCTTGACACCGATTAGCATAAAAATTATATTCATATCGATTCTCACTTTGAATGCCGTGATTGGCAGTTAAGGCCGTGAATGATAACGACGTCAATGGGTTGCTCTACATATTTCTTTGGTTATTTCAGATAATTTTTATACCACACGTAATTTCCTCTTACTTATGCTGAAGGTGTAGTTTATTCAAGTCCCAGCCTTGTTTACATTGACTCGCTCAATTATACGTGCATTTTATCTGCATAATAGTATACCATAGTGTTGTTGTCATTAGGAGATCTTCAGCGAGCTCTTCAAGTCAAACGCGAGTCATAATTGTTCTTTCTTTTTTATAATGAGCTGTCATCCAAGTATATGTGATGCAACTGACCAATTTAAGTATTCCTTTTAACTATTTTGTTGATAATTTACGCCTTTGCCCCTTTCCATTCAATGTCACGAGCATTCCTAAATGCGAATGTCGTGTTAAGCGACTGCCACCTCACTATGATCTGTTGTATTTCTCCTTCAGTAGACTAGATGTTAGTTAGCTTGTTTTAAGTGAACCTGTAGCATGGATAGACATTATTAAAACCCATATTAACGTTATTTCGTAACGTTATCGTGATTTTAGAAATCGATTCGCTAGTGTGAATTTTGAGAGCGATTTGTCTGTCAACTGGTCATTCAATCTGGTGCTTATTCATCTTATTATATTATTAACCACATACGTGGCTGACACCTTCTGAGTGTCATATTCAATAATGATTGCCCTGCACGAACTAAATACATCCCGAGACGCCCACCTATTCTTTAATATTCTTAGAAACGTTTGAAAATATTATTTGTTTGCAAAAGCGAATTAACTAAAATTAATAGCTTCAGGATTTTTTTTGTTGAATTCTTTCCTGGTATTTCCTTGAATACTTGACCAGGTGGGAAAGGTGTGTGATCCCAAGTCAAAGTAGTCTTAATATGAACGAATAAGTGGTAGAAACAAATCTATTGCGATCATTCCAAATGTAGTTGTTGTTTCAACTAATGTTTATATATTTAGTGCCGATTTATTTTACTTAAGTGTGTACTACGAACTTGGGTGCTTCGATTTGAATGTATTCGCGATACGCTATAACTTTACGAATTCAAGAAAAGTCGTATTAGAACCCAGTTCAAGTATAGACCACTCTTGATGGTGATAACTTTGTTGGTTCATTTAGAAATGCATTCAGTATTTGATTCTCATAGATCTGTATGTAAGTTCTAGCAGTTGATAGCTTCACCCTTTTGGTTTAAAAACTTTTTTTTTCAACAAGTTAGTAGTAGATAGCGTATTGAGATGTTGAAGACCCACCTTGTTGATTGATTTCATTCGCATCTCTCAAGACATGTCAATAATCAAATGGTACAATTTCTGGTTAGCAACTGCTCGTATAGAAGGGACTTCCATCAGGTCAGGAATAAATGTGCCATCATCGAATGGCTCCTGTCATGAACCTAACAGAATTTCCTCTATGTAGAAATATTTGAAATTATGTGCATAATTCATTACTGAGACACTAAGACTGAGCACTAAAGTATCAAGTTAACTCGAATTTGAATCAATGAAATTAATTACTATGGTAAACGGTAATACTAATTATAAACGCCCGATTAATTTCCTTAGATCCCAGCAGTTCCGCGCACTTTGAGTGGGTATTACGTCGAATCGCTCATTGGGAGTCAGAAATACTTGTTTTGCTTATTATAGTTTTGGTTATCATAGTGACAATATAATAATAATAGCGGTTTCAGCGTTTATTAAGCCGTAGACCAGTCGCCGATTCTTCATCGCAGAACATTCACAGCTTCTTGCGGTCTCGAACACGCATGCCGCTACTCCAATTTTGCTGTGCTTAACCGCCAGGCCTCCTCGCCGATTCTGACCAGAAACAGGCGCAAAGAGCTGGCTCAGCTGGGCCATACTTTAAAAAAAGTTAAGAGATCGTAAGTTCATCAGCCAATCATCGACGGCCTTTCAAGCAAAATCCACCTATCATAGACAAGCAAAATAGAGCGTAAGTACTTACGTTCACTTAGCGAGTTTTGAAAGTATGGCCCCTTGCAGGGCCCGAACCCGCATCTCTCTGCTCCACTTCTGGTACTCTGACCTGTAACCACTGGGCCACCCACAATGACCAATAACAATATTTACCCACGCTAACTAATTTGAGACAATGATAGTCATTATGCTTCTCTACTGCGAAGAATATTTTAGCAGGTCATTCGTCTAAACGTTATTAATGTGAGTTATTCATTAGTAAAAATTACGATTTAAGTATCGAGGTTGTTTAAATATAGTAGACATGTTGGTGCTAATGATTTTCTATTATTAGTTTGTTTATTTATTCTTGTCTGCAGAATTTCGTGTATATTTGTATAGACTCTAAAAGCTAAAAGGTTTCAAACTAACAATTGAATGCCTATTTTTTTCAGATGAGATTAGCCAACTGCGTGCGAGGTTTTTGTGCCGCCCATGTTAATTTTTTTCGTACATGCTTTGGTTGGAACACAGACATAATTACCACATAACGCTAGTTTAATTTTAGTTTTTATTTGTCGTAAACAGTAACTCTTAACGTATGCTTCAGTGATGATCCAGACTTGACCAGCGTCGTGTATTGTACTAATTCTAAGCTGCCTTAATTAATACCTGTTGCGCCTACAAGCTGAACAACGCCGACATGGTAGCTTAAATGCGGGAACTAATTGTGGAGTCCAACTTCAATGTTAAATTTTATATTGCAAGTTACAAATGCAAGGAAAATATGTAGTTTTACTGTTCCTTGTTAAGCATTCATGCACGGGCTGGTGGACAATGAAGACGTCTGGTACGAATGCCTGGAGCCTTAGACCAACGGTATCCACATTTTTTACACATTCAGAATTTTAAGAAGTGAAGCACATATATGAGGTGCGTATTGCAGGTACAAAGCAATGAAAAATAACGCCTTTTTCAACGAAAATTTTCGTTCTAAGTCTAACTGTTCAATGTTTGCCATTTCAATTGAGCTTTATCGATACGGGTGATGTAACACATCTATTACAATTGTACCACGAAGTTGGCAAACACGCCCTTCTTAATCCTAACTAATCCTAACACGAATGGAGCATAAGAAAATTACACTTGGGGGCAGTCTAGTCTCCATAAGTGACTAAAAGTATCAAAAATAAATTTTGCCATAGGTAATATCACAGTTTATCACAGTCGTCTTTAATCTCGCAATTGTCGATTGGTGAACGGCACCGAGAATGGAACAGCGAGTTGTTGGTTCCCCCAAGTAAGCCGAGAAGATTATTCGATGTAGCTTTTCTTACGCTGTTACGAAGTTCACAGCGCGGCCGTCGGTGCAGTTTCTAGTACGAGTCACTGACTCCAAGGAGGACATGTGGTTATCAAGAGAAGAGCTGAACTTGAAGAGGAGCCCCATACTCGCGCACCATCACTCGCTGCAGGTCTTCGACTAGACTGCGGTACGTGGCCCGCCACGCTGCGCCTTCAGCAGCCATGCAGCCGATTTTCCTGTAAATCGACGAGCAGGCATTAAGCTCTCAAATAGAGGATTGTATTAATACATCATATCGATTAAAAACATTGGTACTTCTAAATTTGAACATCCTTCGACTGAAACACATGTATTCCAGTTGAACACTTCCTAACATCCGAACGCTCTGTTCAATTATAACACAAAAACGCGTGACGACCGATGTCGTTATCCCACTTTTTTCCTTGTTGCAGTGATTGATATTTACGAACTATCTTATGCCAGTTACAACTACTATTTCTTAACAATCAATGAATTACCAATCTTTAAATATACAAATTGTACTAGCAAATCAATAGCAGATATTTATTCCATGTTCGTACTATTGGCAAAACATTTCGGTGTGCAAACCCCTAAACGCCACATTTCACAGGATGCGGTCGATCATCGGCGCATAAGTATACGAGTCGACAAGAGCAGTTGCTTTTCAAGATCAATTTTGTACAGGATTTGAAGCCTGCACAGTTGGGTGTTTCAACAAGAGAACCTTCAGGGTGGTGCTGATGCCTCATTAACTTCATACTTAGATGTGATGGTAGGTAGATCTCTACATCACCAGGCCTTTCATGTTTTAGCAAGAAAATCTATGCAAGTACAAATTCGACCGGATGTGTTGGACTACGATGTTACAATAAGGTGATCATAACGAATTACTAGACAGTATGAAAATTTCAAATCCTTGCATTGAATCCAAGAACAGTCCTTATTTCACAAAAAATAAAACTGACCTATAAAGTAACTTCAGGAGACAGTCGAGCATTTCGAGCTGCTTGGCGGCCGCCAGCCCGCAGAAGTATGTGCTCAGAATTTGCCCATCTTCTTCACTTGGGGCGGGAGTCGAACAGAGCCATTCTTTGATGAGGTTCCGGACTGAGGGAAGATCCGTCTCCCCACACAGTGAAGGCTTTTGGCCCTCGGTCACAGGAAGCGCACTGTCACACGACTCTGCAAATTTTAGGCATTTTCCACATCAAGGGAAAAGACTAAGTGTAACAAATTCCGCACTACTGAGTGCAAACCAAAACTAACGAGCTCAAGACAGGTGTTATAATGGTTTCTTCACCCATTGACAGCTGTTGAATCGTGCAATTACGAGAATAGAATTGGAAAATTACTTGTAAGAGTTGCCGTATCATTCATGCCCCAGAAATTTTGTATAAAAAGACACTGCACAACTTTTTTTTGTACCGTCATTGATCAATAATTTTACAACGAAAGGGAAAAATTCTCAACTTTGTAAAAGTCAAAACTTTTTTAATAATTTGTGTAATTATTAACTTTACAACTATTCACATAATAGCATGTTTTGCAAATGTTCGAGTATTTCATCATTAAATAGTTTAATCAAACGCACATAATAGAAAAGCAACTTTATCACATTTGAAAATACCTAAATCAACAATATCTCACCATCATTGAGCAAAGGAGAGCTATTTCCTTCAATTCCGAAGCAAGAAGCTTCGTTGCACACAGAAGGGATTGCTAGAAGCGCGATTTCGTTGCTAGCCATTCCTCCTCTCACGACGCTTTTTTGCTGGATACTCGAGCCTATTCTTCGCGTGTCACATTTGGGCGGTCGACCTCGCCGTCTTCCTCGTTTGTTGGGCGAGGCGACGTTTTTCCCAGCCGCTTTGCGAGGGGAAAGCGACCACAGGCCAGACTGCTGGCCTTCCCCACGCGGTCGCAAAGGACTGATCTCAGCCCTGACTGAGGTGCTAGCCACCGCTTCGGGCCCTATAGTCTTCCTCGGTGATGTTAGTCCGTGCAAGACTTTTTTCTGACGCTGATAATCCCGTTTCATTTCTTCCTGTAATTCTTCAGGGAGAGCTTGAAGGAAACTCGAATCAATCTGAAATAAGTGAGTGGATCTCTTAAGAATTTGAAGAAAGAACATAAATATTATGCCGACAGTAAAATTAAGTGGGTAGGGCGAAAACGTGTGCCTTCAGCATGAAAACGTATGCTTCAAGATCTTTTAGATTTGAAATTGCAACAAGAGATCATAAATCTAACATCCTGAAGATAAAATAGGCAATACAATCAATCTTTTTGCACTCAGACCAGAGTTCTCACTTGAGATTGATTGATGAGATTTTCATCGTCTCGTTCGTCTTCGGGACCTCTGGGGGACATATTGAGAAGCTCGTCAGAAGCAACAGAAAAATCGTCATCTAACACCTCGGGACCTGCAGATGCTGCAGCTGAAACATCACGCATCAAAGTCTCTCCATTCATACTCTGATGGACGTTGGAAGATTGTGCACGGTAGCCAGTTTTTTCTATTTTAGTGTCAAGCATTTCAACCTCAGTTCGTAAATTTTCAGGCTTGTATCCGGAAGGGCCAGCTTGACTTGAACCGGAATTCGAAATTTTATTTTCGATGTCATTTGTATCAAGACGTACATCCTCGGAGATGTCAAAAGTGTCTGGCGCCAAACGACAGTGGTTTGCTACAACTGGTATAGTGTATCCTTGTTGTTCATATTCCGCAATGATTTGCTGTCGCAAATCCGACGGTAAAGCCAATAGCACATCAACGTCAAGAACTTTTGATTCAGTTAATCCAGACGAGATATTTTTGGAATTATTTATTAGATTTATTACTGATTTTGCGCTGGGCCTAGCAACCCGCTCAATTTCGTCTTGTTTCCCTATGGTATCAATTTTCACACCAGGCTCAGTAACCTTGTCATCCTTCTTTTGCTTCACTAAAAACCTCATGATTGCAGTTTTATCTTCTACAGCACATGCTTTATTTTTCTCCAGCTTTGATACTTGGATACCAACACCTCTGAAGTCACACCAGGCCACCTTAATCTGAGCCAGCAACTTTAACGTCTCCTGCAGCAGAACTTGCGCGTCATCCGTGGGCCGAGTCAGGGGGACGCTCTTCGTTATATTGTCACACACGCCGTGCCCCATGAATTTTGCTGTCTCCCGAGAGGCTTCTTTCGAGCGAACCTTCAGCTTGAGGGAAATACATCGGCCTTTTACATCAATGGATCTCAGTCGCTGTGAAACTTCTTCGCACAGTTGGCCAAGGAAATCCCTGGCATCCACTTCGGTTTCAAATCTTATGCCATAGTTCACTTCCGCCGAGACTGACTTGCGCTGGAAATGTCAAAGAAATATATCAATAACTTCATCAAGTGGTATATAAAAAACCTAGTATTTATAACACCGTCGGATTCTTCAGTCTAGGAAAGTGAAGCCTTCACGATCGACCGTGGTTTAGTTCAGTGATTTTTAGAGTTGCGGAATTGTACGAGCCTCATAATCAGATATTAAACAGTTCAAGAAATGTCCAGATGGCTGTTTGACATGTTTTAAAATGTGCGTAGCTTCTTTGTATAATAGATCGCCCAGATTATTAAATAGATACATCCTTGAATAAAGTCTGTTTCAGCCTATGATTTCATCTAACTTTCTCTCATGTTTTACCGTCAAAAAGTAATTCAATTAGAAGACACCTACCAGCATCATTATGATCTTTTGAATTTAGTAAGGTCGAATTTTCTATCTTTTAAAATATCCAAGATGTCGTGAACCAATACCCTGAACATGATCACTTAACTAGTCTCCTGATCAGGACCAGAACACTTGTCTTACTATCAGTAAATCTTCAGAATGAATACCTAACAACGATTCCAACACGCTAGTCTTTCACATGTCCCATTGAGGCTCTAACAACCGAGATTATGCGCTCACGATGTGGTGCGAGATGACGGGACGATCGTCGATGCCGTTGCAGAAGCTAAGGAGCGTCGCGGCCGTGCGGCGGCCACACACGGCGCTAAGTCTGCCGTGTGACCAGCTGCGCAAGTCGCCGCAGGTCACAGCGCCGGCCTCTCGCAGCCGCTCGCTTAGGTTCCTGCCAACGCCTGTGAGTGACATCAAAGTTAATACATGCAATGACCATCAAGTAATAACTATAGACAAACTTTAGAATAATTGCAACTATTGAGTTCATGGTAATAAATATTTGAATATTGATCAGAAAAATTTTGAATAACATAATAACTGCAACCGTCTCATAAATTGAAAATGCAAAAAAATGTTCCTTATTTGGAAAATAGTTTTCTTTGACTTTGCACAAGTTATGCACTCATTTGTTGCAGAAATATTCCCAGTACTTGCATACGGCGTTTGCAAGCCCTCAAACACCAGAAGGTTCTCCCCCGAACACTAGAAGCCCCCCACGAACACCAGGCGGTGGCCCACTTACCCGGCAGATCCCGCAGCGGCAGACTTTTGAGGTGGTGCTGCAGCGCGACACCGTCGAGGTAGACGTGGCCCTGCGGCTTGGCGAGTTTGGTGGCAAGGCGGGCGCTGAGTTTGGATGAGCCTAGGCCCGCTGAGCACCCACATTTGGTCACCCGCTAGGCAAATAAAAATAATCAACCTAGACCTCCTTTACTACTACTAATACTAGTCTCTTTTGTCTCGAAAATTACTTACTCGAAATGAACCAGAACAACTAAATATGATGACTAATTTCCAGGAAAAAAATAACGAGACAGATAGGGTGAGATGTTCAAAAATTTTGCACATTTCAAAATTTTGTGCCAAATATTATACAACGTTCCGCGACAGTGAAATTAGAAACCAAAAGTTTTATAGCGATACGAGACATTGAATTGTTATTTAGAATGAGGTATTTCACAAAGATATGAGACACAACAAGATATTTTGAATGCGCCCATCAAAAATGGACTATTAATTCCTTAATTGCTAATGTGCAGTTGGCAGATTTGGCGATATAAGGCGCCCAACACAACTCGTTACTGGAAAGACTTGGCGATGTAGTGCCGGCTGAAAAACTTTCATGTCAAGTGATTATGTAGGTCTCTCATAACGTATTAAGTTCGGTACATTTTAAATAATCGAGCCTATCGAGGACCGTACGAATTCAGCACGCGTTACATCAGCTTTATCCAGGTCCTTCAAATTTGCAGTTATTTACAGTATGGGCATTAGCGATGCCATTTTACTCATAATACTACTTTGAATGTTGAATACTGACAAAACGTAGCTTAAAATATAAAAAAATTCCCAGAATTTCACATCAAGGATTAGCATGTGTGTTACGTTATGTTAGNAATACTACTTTGAATGTTGAATACTGACAAAACGTAGCTTAAAATATAAAAAAAATCCCAGAATTTCACATCAAGGATTAGCATGCATGTTACGTTATGTTAGTTTGGAAAAGATGTAAATTCCAACAAAATTGTGAAGCTCCAATTTTGTCCGGTACGGCTTGTCTCGTCTTGGTAGGTATCGGACCCGACTTCTACAGAGTTAAACACTTCCTTGATTTTTATTGGTTATTGAGAATAAGAGTTTTAGTCTCATCTAGAATAAAATAAAAATAACGAAGCGCACATGCTTACATCAACTGTAGCACAAAGCAATTAAATTATCTTACTGTGACGTGATCTCGGATGCAGGCGGCAAGGAGGGAAGGTGTGGCACCGTGGCTGTCGCGCAGCTCCCTGATGATGTCGCTAACGTCAGCGTACAGTTCATCACAACTCACGGCCTCAATGCTGCGACTATAGCTGTGTGGCGGAGCAGAATATAAGATTGACGAAAACTATTGCTGCGATTTATAAAGACGAGAAAATTATGGAGACAAAAATCTGCGGGTATTGCGCATTATAAATAGTTTACTGCAGTGACTTGGAAGAAAATGCAGCTATGTTAGGTCTCAAATGACCAGTCCACTAAGAAACATTCAAGTGGAAGAAACATTCTGGTAATCTCATTGGAAGGAAAAAAGAAAAGGTGACGGATGAAGAGCAGCAGAAACAAAAAGAAACAGATGAGCAGCATCAGAAACAAAGAAGGGACAGGTAAACAGCAACAGACATGAAGAAGGAACAGGCAAATATCAAAATAAATGCAATATCTATTAGGTCGAAAATTACAACAAGGAGCGATAAGTGAGCTGCATAAAATAAAAAGAAATATTTATTAATTTAGAGGACAGGTTAACCACAGGTTAAGAGGACAGGTTAAGGAAAGTTAAGAGAAAAACAGACGGGATAAATGAGCTGCGATGCTCTAGATGAACTAAACACGCATCTCAAGACCATTTTATCACGTTAGGAGTAAGATTTCAACATATGGGAGCCTCCTGTTTATTGAACTAATTGCAACAACATAAGTATTTTATTATTAATAAATAACTCAACTCTCTAGGATAAGTGTTATAATACAACAATCATGAGCAGAATTCATGCATACCTGGCCACGATATCATAGAGTTGGAAGGACACTTGTTTGTAGCCCTCGAAGTCATAAGGGATGGTGTGTAGGTCAGGGCAAAGCTTCAGAGCTGCCCCCAGGAACATCCCGTTAGATACTCCAGCCTTGCGTGCCTCGTAGCTGCAGCATGCAATTTCTGACAGAGAGCTCGACGAGTCTAATAGAGTCGTTCGTCGGTTATCGGATTTAATAAAAGTTTCATCTCCATCAGTTTTTGCTTTGAATTTTTCTGCATCAATTAATTCTTGGTTGTCAGCCAGGTGATTCTCCTCCGTGTGTTCAAATGCTTTGAGAATAGAAGCCTCGTCTAGCTCTGAATAGTCATCCCAATCATCAAAGCCTTCATCTATATTATTAGAGTTTTTATCTTCTGATATGCGATTCTTTACATTGGACGTTATCGTTTCAAATGAATTAAGCCTTCCAAGCTTGTTCGCAATTTTATCGTCTATATTTTGGCGCCTTTGCTTAGTTTGTTGTCGTTCTCTGTATAATTTAAATTCAGCATGAATGTCAGCACCAGGTCGTTTATTAGCCCGATTGCCTTTAGCGTGAGTTACAACGACCGGCTTGCCCAGCAGGTCTGGCCGATTTCTAAGGCTAACTGACACGAAGAAACAATCCATATCTATGTGCATTATTATGCGGTCTGATGGCTGTGGCATCTTAGCTTCCGACACCTGGCTGGAGTCATCAAAGGCATCGCGTCCATTGGGAGTTGCTTGAAGAGAAGGTGTAGCAGCTGATGGGCTATGGAGTTCACCTGACGCCTTTTGTTCAAGTAAATACTTTTTGAACATAATTTTACCTGAATCATCACGAGGCTTCTGCGTCAATTTAATGACATAATCTTTGAACATAGTCGCCATGGTGGATAGATGATGAAGTCGAGAATTATTATAGAAATCAGCTAAGAAATTTGGATTACTTGTATTTGATGGATGGTCATACTCGCGATTACTAGTATTTCTCTGTGGAGGCCGTGCAATGTTGATGAATGGTTCTGATGAACCACTTGGCATTGGCGGTTCGGAAGAAAGCAGATTTTCTTCACTGGTATAATTTGACACTGAAATGTCATTTTCCACAACCATAGGACTTGAGACACAGTCTGGATTCTGTTCTTTGATATTTGCTTCCCCGCGATTCCCTGGAAGAGAAGTGACTCCAGTAGAAAACTCCTGAATGTAGGAATGTTCACACTCCTGGTATGAATTGTCAGAACTTTCTTCCTCCACATCTGGGATTTTAGATACGAATGCTCCATTTGCCCCGGCAGAATTGGACATCAGTTCACTCGTGCCGTTGCAAGATCTTGATAACGTAGGTGAATCAGAAGCAGCATAGCTTAATTGATTTGCAAATTCCTCTTCTGATATTCCACCTGCACTGCACGTTTGAATAAGTGTTGAACTTTTATTACTATTTGAAATATTATTTTTTGTGACGTGCAGTTCAAATAAACCGGAATTTTGATTAACTAAATCTGAGTTTATTCTGGCATCAATTAATTTAGTATCATCAGGTCTACTAGAACCATCAATATTCTGTTCAATTTCCTCGTTCTCTTTTTCTGTTGCTTGAGTTCTTACTTGAACTCTGATGTCATCTTCGCCCAGATTAACACAAGATTTAGTATTGCTAATTATGGAATGACTCCCAGTAGCCTCATTCGTTTTACTGAAAGCTATTTTTGGCTGCACTGAGCTCTGCTTGGTGTAGAGTAAATAATTAGTGTAGTCCAACAGTCGCCCCGCTGCCAACGAGTCCACAATCCAAGAAGCTTTCACAATAAAGTCAGTGTTGAGTCTACGCACCTGAAATACAACATCATTCATGCAAGCCTCAACAAATACATTCTCAACAGTGAAGATAGATTATAAGGAGTAAATTTATAAGAAGCATCTCTTCATTTCATATACATGTTAATTAAAGTCTTCTATTTGGTTTAGATTATTTCTCAATTCCCAATATTTGCAATTACCAAATTTATTTGAAAACACACAATTTCTGTTACTAATTAACTACTAGCTTGCTTAGTGGCTAACACTGGTATCACTATGGAAATTTCAAGCATGAATGAAGATTCAAATTGAAAAAGACTAAATATTCAACTTGTGTTCTCACGGTCTAGAAGTAAATACCTTGGTATGAGGAAGGTTAGAAGCAATAATGTGTGTTGTTCGTCGCCTTGAGTAATAGTGATGAAATGTGCCGCCATTGCTCAGCATGATGCGCTTCAGCTCCTCAGCGGATGGCTCTGAAGGACAAGTTATACTAAAGAAGCAACTATTTTTAGAATAACAACATGAATAATAATCCTTTAAAAAAAATAAGTACTTCATTCAAAAATGATTATATTGAAGTATTGCCTATCCATATCTTTACTTGAAATCATTTCAACAGTTGTTTAATGTGTTTTTGATCTATGAACCGATATGTAGGTATATAGGATCCAAAAACCCTTTTCAGAAAATACAATTGTCTTTGTAATATCATATGTAGCATGCAAAATTTATCAAGAAATTACAGCCACGTGCCAACAATAATTGAGCATTCAATCACTTTTACTTAGAAAAAAATTAACAATGGATTCAACTTTTAAAAAGATACAATGTTTCCAATCAAAAATTATCAATGTCTCAACTAATATATGAACTGTTTTTTAAACGTGCATTGTGATAACATTTTAATAAATGAGAAAGGCACATGTGCAAAGCATGGATGCAACAGTAATTCTACTTATTTTAATTAGATAATCTTACAGGCCAAACTTCTAAATCTACCAACAGAACTGAAGTTTACTTCAAAAAATATGAAAAATGTAAAATAGTTTTAGAAAATATTCAATAATGAATGAAGGTCTGAAAACATTAAATGAATTTATGAAGGTCTGACATAGCTTGTGTAACTACAAATGAATTGGCTTACCAGTATAGCCATTCACAAAAATGGCAATGCCTGCAAAAATACCAGAATTTTCAGAGCAAGCTTCCTGTTTGCACTGCCCCTCAAGTTTCAACAGTTTTGTGGCCATGTAACCACCCTGTGAAAATGAAGACATAATGAGTATCAAAGTACGCATATTATATCAGAAAAGGCTATCCAGTATTACCTATATTATATCATGTATTATAGACATGTTGCTTTGCCAAGGCATTTAGTACCAACTAAATTTGATAGCAATAGGTAGTTCTGACAGTGATAAACAAAGCAACAAGCTTTTAAAGGAATACATTACTCACCCATTCTTCAAATCCATTCCCATGATTCTTTCTTCGCTTTCTCCCACGATCACTTCCAGATTTGTTTGACATAGTGAATACCAGAATTTTCAGAGCAAGCTTCCTGTTTGCACTGCCCCTCAAGTTTCAACAGTTTTGTGGCCATGTAACCACCCTGTGAAAATGAAGACATAATGAGTATCAAAGTACGCATATTATATCAGAAAAGGCTATCCAGTATTACCTATATTATATCATGTATTATAGACATGTTGCTTTGCCAAGGCATTTAGTACCAACTAAATTTGATAGCAATAGGTAGTTCTGACAGTGATAAACAAAGCAACAAGCTTTTAAAGGAATACATTACTCACCCATTCTTCAAATCCATTCCCATGATTCTTTCTTCGCTTTCTACCACGATCACTTCCAGATTTGTTTGACATAGTGGGTAAGCACTGTAAGTACTTATAAAACTGATATACGGTACTCTGCTCAAAAAAACATGTTAATGCATTTAAAAAGTTAAATAACATCCTAACCAACTTCAGTTTTCCAAGAAATATGAGCAGCTTGTAAAATATTTGTATTTATTGCCTAAATTGAAAACAAATGGTACCAAATAATGAAATTACACATAAGCCCATCATGGTACAAACTACCATATACATAAGTGTACATCTGGCTAAATTCTACAGGGTGCGCCAGAGAAACTTGTTTGAAAAAATTCCCGCGCTGTGAGTAGGGCGGGTAGAGGGGCAAGAGTTGGCGCATCAGGAGGGAAAGTTCCCAAGTTTGTTTCTTCCTCCAGTCAGTTACCATCATGCTCTGGTCTAGAGGGCAGCAGGTGATGTCCATAATAGGAATCTGTTAATAAAGCTTGTCACAGGAACATGATCGAGGAATTTTTCTTCCAAGTCTCGAAGAAATGAACATTAGGAATGTGTGGTTTCAGCAAGATGGAGCCATAGCACACACAGCACAAGACTCAATGAATTTGTTGTGACAACAATTCCCCAACCGCCTCATCTCTCTCCAAGGCGATCTCCAATGGCCGCCACGCTTTCAAGATTTGACTCCATGCGAGTTATTTTCAGGGTTGGTGATTTTTTTTATTCTTTTTTTAAATCAAAAAATAAAAAATCAATAATTTTGTATTTTTTCATGATTTTTTATTTGATTTTTTTTATTTCTTTTAGCTTTTTTGGCTTTTTGAAATGTTATTTTTTATGTTGCAATCAGCCTACTAACAATAACAGTATATGGATCAAAATGGATGGCTAAAAAGGGCACTTATTACCTTCAAGAATGGCCATGGTGGTGTTTCCCACTTTGGGACTTTTGGGTAAACAATTAGTGATAAGTCTATTCATTAGCTTTGTAAAATTTGTATGGAGCAAGGTAACAAGCTAAATATTGACCGTTTAACTGGCTTCAATATACAAAAACACTTCAGGAATGCGGATCTTCTACACATTGAATAGTCACATAACAGATATAAACATAAACATAAGAGATATAAACATAACACATTTCTCGAGCTGATAGCACAGTGCACAACACTGTCAATAGATCTACTAGTTTTATGTCCTATAAATCTACCAGACTCTACCCTCTAAACACACTAACTAGTAGTGACAGAGTGACTGACTGCACTGTACCCATTTGATTCAGACCAATAAACCAAAACTAAACATAAAGTGAACTATAACCAAACCAACCTCAAACGACTTGAAACAAGACTAATGTTATGAGAAAAGCTAACACTGTTTGAAGTAAACATGTGTACAATGCAAACATTTTATTTCCATTCACTGCATTTATTTATTTTATAAATAGTTTTATAATTGTAATTGTTTTGTTTCTAGTATTAAATTGACACACTCAAAGATTGAAATTAAATATTTTAATTAGAATACTCATATTAGGGTGAAAAATCTTTCTAATTGCCTAAAAGGTCAATACAATCTCAACCTCTCAATATACAGGGTGGGGCAGAACCAATTGAGCAGTTTTGAGGCGCAATATAAGAGTAATAAAGGTAAAGATTACTTGTGTTTTCAAAACAATATCTGGAAGATGGTGGCCATTAGCTGCAACACACTGTTGGAGTCGTTCTTGGAGGAGGGAGCCGTGACAGTGAATTCCTAATGCTATGCTTCAATGTTGCAAAATTTCTTGCAGCCCAGGATGGAAAACATTGTTGAAAATGAAGAATTGGGAGACATGTGGTTCCAGCAGGATGGGGCTACAGCTCACACAGCCCAAATGTCACTCAGTGGCCTGCAAGGTCACCTGAGTTGAGCATTTGCGATTTCTTTCTTTGGGGACATCTAAAAGAGGGTGTTCAGAAGTTGCACTCACACTCTACCACAGCTAAGGGAATGAATTATTGCAGCAGAGGTTATGGCCATACCTCACCATGTGTGAACGTGCTGTAGAAAACTTCTGAGAACAACTCCCAACAGTGTGTTGCAGCTAACAGACACCATCTTCCTGATATGGTTTTCAAAACATAAGTGCCGTCAACCGGGGCTACATTCAGAGTACTGTTAGTAATAGATGAGTACACTCTGCATGCTTCAAATGTTTTAAAATTAAGTTTTATTCCAAGTGTCCAGAGTAGCCCCATTCGCTGGGGCTACTCGGGACACTATTTTTTTTGCTTCTGGCACCTTACGAATACTATATGGATTTTTTTTGGAGAAACCACGTGATAGCCCTTGCAAAGAGCTTTGAAATGAGCCTAAACTCGTTTATGAAATGTTTCATGGTGAGAAGTTATGAATGAAAAACGTTTGAAATCGTCCTGAGTAGCCCCGGTTGATGGTATTCTAAATGGTGTGTTATACTAACCTTGAGGAAAATAAACTTTCTTCTTTATGTACCTCCATAACTTATTTATTTTGCCTCAAAAGTGCTCAGTTGGTTCTGCCCCACCAAGTATAAGTTAGCTAACACATTTAAATTGTATATAGTACCGTAATTAATATATAACAATTAGTCAAATAGTTAGTTAAAGACTACTTATAGCCTTATAAGAATTAGCTAAGCTGCTATGTACAATGTATTGCAACACTTGATGCCTCTGTACCAAAAACATCCAATTTATTGAAACCTAATACACACTATAGGCAACAAGTTTATATTCAAATTTGTAATAGTACATTTATACTAAACCATGAATAACAATACCTCAAAATAAATTAAGAACTGCAACTCAATATATTTAAATATATAAAAAAATTGAAAAAAAAATAGAAAAAAATCATAATTTTTGTATAAAAAATCAAATGATTTAATCACATGATATAATCAGTTTGATTTAATCAATGCCAACCCTGGTTATTTTTATAGGGTTATTTGAAATCTCTGGTTTATGTCAATCAACCATGGACCATAGCACACCTCATTAACAACATTTGCGACGCCATTGCCAACATACCGATTGATATGCTGCAAAGAGTGGATACAAATTTCAAAAATAGACTTCATCAGTGTATGTGCAATGGGGGTTGCCATTTATCCATTGTCATTTCCAAGAATGTATGAAAAAATTGGGATATTGTTTTCTCAAATAAAAAAGAATTTAAGACAATAATTGAAGTACATAGTTTTGTTTTTATCAACCTTTCAAATTAGTAAGTTTCTCTGGCGCACCCTGTACAAATAAGGCTCATCAAAAATGTAATTCTTGTATGCTTGGTCCTTTCAATTTATGTAGTCAGAACATGAACAATTAGTAACTGAATACTGTGAGCATGAAAATAAGATAGGTCTAAGAGTAAGACACATTCACCTACACCTAGTGCCAGCCAGGTAAGTTGTCACAGCTGACGTCCATGCCCTACCTGCCCATACCTGGCCAACCATGCGCCTCACATACTAGGAACAATTAGGATTGCAATCACTAGTGTCCCAGACACAAACTATTATGTAATCAGCATATAATAGCACATTGACAGTATTGAGATGAGGGGCATCCATCAACATGTGGTTGAAAAGCAAAGGACTCAAGACACTGAAGACAGCACCCTGAGGGCTGAGGCACCCCAGAAGATAGCAGGAGGGGGTATGACAGAACTCCATTGACTCTTACACAAGCAGTGCAAGATATCAAATATTCATGCAACCAATAGCCCATTGCACCACCAGTTCCAGCCATTGCCAACTTATAGAGCAGACCATCCGCCCAAACCTTCTCAATTGCCAATTGCAAATCTATATACACAACCAAACATACATCCAAAGCAACTTGAGCCAAGCAAATATGTTTCTCTAACTGAAGCAAGACTGTCAGTTGTGCCTGAGTTAAAAACTACAATGGCTTATGTGCAGTGTGGAATTCTAGAGGGATATTAAATTAACCAGTACCTACAGATATCACACTGGAAATCAGGACCTGAAAGCTTGGAAAGGCCAGGAACTTTCAACTTTCAGTCCATTATATACATATCCTATCTCTTTCCAGCTGTGATTGGTGATGGGATTGTGAAGAGCTTTGATTGGTTGTGCCCAAAAGCCTTTCCAGCTGTGATTGGTTGTACCCAAAAAACCCTCCAACAAATATGGTACCGTATATGTATAATGCACTACAGTACTGGTTAACTTGATACTTAAACTAACTTGACTTGATACTTGACTTAAACTCTATCATTATTACAAACAAAGGGCCTGAAAAATTTCAAAAAATTCATAAAATAAAATAAAAAATATCAATCAAACAAGAGACAACTAAACAATATTATAACAAATATGAGGTACCATACAATTGGAACAGTTGGTCCACTTTTGATCCTCGTTTTCCTTTATAGTCAGTCACAAAAAGTCTTTACAGTCAGGAAAGCTTTCCACCTTGGGTGGAAAGCTTTTCAATAAGTGAACTTCCATTCTTAGCATAAGCCTTATGGAAAGAAGGGATATAGCCTATAGGTAAAGTACATACTCCAAATAAGCAGCCACTGAGCCATAAGACATTCTAATAATTTACCAAGACAGGACAGCAGTGTGATCACTGTGATGAAGCAATATTTCATATGAGATTGATAGCCTTAGATCTTTCATGGGATTCAGGATTGGCTATGTAAATTTTAAAGCCTTCCATCATTTCATAAAGTTGAAAGAATGCCTAGCTGCAAGCTTTGATTGTATAAAGTCAAAAATTGGTCATAATCATGATTATGTTCATCAGAAAGGGCCTTTAGAAAGCTATTGGGCATTTGTATTTTATCCTTGCCTGGTGTAGTCATTTGCATGCACCTCTGCCGCCTCATAGTCATAGCCTTGCCTGGTAGTGGTATAGTCATCTGGACCTACATGCACCATTGCAGTGATTGCACCTCATAGCTCAGCTCAGCACAGCTCATTCCTACTGAAAGGGCAATTAGTACTAGTAGTCCCTGGTTGATTTCAGGTTGGCTTCAAACAATAATCCCATGTACTTTGTAGATCTGCAGACTGCAGGGGCTTGAAAGTCACCAGTTATCTATTATCAACAATAGGGTTACTAGGG